AAAGGACACACCATGGAAGTCAAGATTTGGAACTGACTTCGATCCCATTTGGATGTAAGGTGGACTATTGGATCGGACCTAGGAAGAGACCAAAGAAACAAATGAAGTTTGAACCGACTACTGAGCCAGGTATATTCCTAGGATACGTGATCCATCCCGGCTTCCATTGGAGAAAAGAATTTGCAGTAGCCTCATTGAAACAAATCAACGATGCAGATTTTGATCAATCTGTCACAGTATTGAGGGTGCTGAAAGTCTCAATCCCTGATCGCATAGAATTCCCCTGCCGGAAACAAGCCGATGCTATTCTTGAAGGTCGAATGAGGCCTGATCAGTTATGTGATGGAGAAGAGGATGACATCCCGCCATTGGAAGAGCAAGATGCTCAGCCTGTGCGGGAGCCAGGCCCAGTTAGACGGACTATCAAGGACATCGAAGCTGGACAGCCTGCTCAGCCATCAAGTGCATCCGCAGTCTATCATGGGGGGTGGTTAGAGTTCCTCAAACATGTTGATCATAAAGAAGCTTGGTACGAGTACTCAGCTTGTAAGATCAACATTCGAATCATCGACAGCCAATGCATCGGTCCATCCTCCGACTTTAGTGCAAGTGACAATCCATTTCGGACCACGTGCATTAAGGATGATGACTCTTGGCACGTCCATGAAAATTTGAAAATCGATCCCCCGGTCGAAGATCTTGAGAAGAGCATGGACGCACATGAAGAAATCGCTACTATATTCTCAAAAGAACCCATCGACTTGAGGAACAGAGTGGACGAGCCATCAGACGAAGAGGTGCCGGCAGGTGAAGTTGAGGTCATCAACCCTGTGACAGGGGAAGTAGAGAGAATCAAAAGCAATGACCCCTCATACTATGATGCCAGTGGTTTCAAAGCCAGGAAATACAAGAATTCGAGTAAACCAAAAGACATCCCTCCTTTGGTGTGGCAAGCCATGTCCCAAAAGGAAAGACGACATGCCATAGCGGAAGAACAAAGAAAGCTCGCTCTGGAAGAGAAAGAAAGGAAACGCGCCAGAAGGGTCAAGGCTGTACCCATGATCGGAACTCTCAAGGGCACTCCAAATGATGTAGAAGCAAGCATGAACTACGAGTTTACCTCAGCTATGCCTACCTGCCAAATGAATCCTGAGAAGCATCGAACCAAGTGTATTAGGCTTGGAATTCCACTCAGGGGAGAGAGCCGTGAACACTCTTGTTGCAAGGCCTGTAGGGAAAAGGAAATAAGAGCCAATCCCAAAGCCCAACAAGCATTAGATGTTGAGTGGGAGAAGTTGGTAAAGAAAAAGGCTTGGCAATATGAAACGGTTTCCGAATGGAAGGTAATTGCCGATAAAGGACGGTGAGGCCACAAAGGACGGAGCGGCTCCTGATCGGCATTGAAGCAGATCGCCAGAGCATGGCAATGATCAAGATCAGGATTGAGACTCAGATCTGAGGTTCAACTTGTTGCAGTGAACCAGCACCAAGGACTCCTTTCGGAGAGGTACATCCAAACGGTGCGGAGACAGGCACTGTGTTTGATGTCCGCTCTGGAGTGAAAGTGGAGTGTGGTTCAGTACTTTCCACTTGGGCAATTCGCCATGCAGGTGGCTCTTGAACAGATTCCAACCGGCGAGCAACCAAGGAGGTGCAACGCCTTTTGAACTGAAGTTTGAGAGGAGATATACTGGCAAGCTGGTGCCATTTGGCTCATCAATATTTGCAAGATCCAACGCTCAATATTTTTGGGCAAATCTGAGGACTCAGATGCCAATTTGGTTGGTACCGCATCTGGTGTCAAAGTCGCCAGAACAATCAGGCGAAGAGTGCAGCCCTACCGAGCTGAAGACATCGTGCCAATCAAAGGCGTGCCTTCGAACTTTACCCAAGAAGCACTTGGTGTCAAGGTCAAGTACAGGCCGATGCCCGCTCTGCCAGAAGATGCGCCCTTCGTGGACGAAGAGGCCGAGGCTGTGAAGAAAGCATTCCTGGAGCAGAGGAGTGACAGTGAGGATGAAGGTGGTGACGCGATCCGGCAAGGAATCCTTCTGGATGACAAGATAGTTCCGAAGACATCAGAGAACGCACCGACACCACCTGCAAGTCCAAAAGCACAGCCAAGGGCAGCTATAGCTGAACCACGCCAAGCAAAGAAGGCGCTGGTGGAGGAGCGAGCCTTGAAGAGACCTGCAAACAGCCTGTTGAGGCGGGGCAAAGCATGGATGCTGAGGAGAGTAGAAAGAGGAGAAGTGAGACAGAAGTCGAGGTTCTATCTCAAGGAAGCCCGACCAGGAGCAGACTTGAGCCAGACGCAAGTCCATCAACAAGGACACTGTATCCACGTATCCACCAAGTTTTGCTGGGAATGTTGCTAGAGTTGAAGTGGTGGAAGGAATGACAGTGGCAACTGTCTACGAGTCTGGTGATGAATATCTCTTTGGAGCGGACAACGAAGAGGAAGAATACTCCATGGACTTTGGAGAAAACAAGGAGGAACTACTCAGTTTCTGCTGGGATGATGCGGACTGCGTGAACTGTCCCATCGTCAGTGGGAGTCATCTGTCAGAGCTGGACGAAGCAGCATTTGAGAAAGAAGTGACAAGGCTGCAGGAGATGAATGTCTTGAGGAAGGCAAAGAGATCAGACCTGGACAGTGACTACAAAGAACTGTCAACAACTGCAGTACAGTACTGGAGACATCGTGATGGTGTCTGGCAGAGAATACGCTTGGGCCAGGGAATACAGGTGGGAGGACCCCACGAGACAGGATTTGTTTCCAGCATCGACTGCATCAGGCCAAATACGCCTACTGGCAGCATTGGCCATGGGCGAGCAAAGGTTCCAGTTGTGGACCATCGATGTGAAGGACGCTTTCTTGCTGGCACCGCAGAAGAGCAAAGTGTATGTCAACCCGCCTCGAGGATACGAACATCTGTTGGCGGAATATAGTTTGGGTGTTGGAAAAGCTGTTGCCCGGCCAAAGGGCAGGTACAAGAGAGTGGGGACTTTTCCTCAAGGAAACCTTGGAAGAAGAGCAGTACGAATCTCTAGCGTTGAGCCCGACCCTGTTTGCAAAGAGATCAGCTTCAGGACAAGTCGAAGGAGTCATCTTGGTACACGTGGATGACCAACAAGGAGGCAGCCATAGTCCTACGCTGTTTGGTCGAATTGTCGCAGCGCGCTTTGAACAGCTCGCAGCCGCTTGGACTGCTAATGGGAGATGCCATGCTTTTGTGGCTGGTCTGTGTTTTCTCTGGGGCTTTGGTTCATCGATGATTCCATCCTTCTTTTTCGCAGCTTGTCCCAGGCTGTTCGCTTGCTGCCTGAAGTGATTTCTTTACTTGCCACCATGGGCTTGAGCATTAATATTTCCAAGTCTTGTGTGCTGGGGTTACCCCCAACTATAGCGGCGTTGCCAGGCTGCTTGGCGCCTTTTCCTCTCGTTGCGCAGTCCAAGTACCTTGGCTTACCTCTGCTGCTTGTTGAAGATGATGAGCCCATGGTTGACCAACTGTGTGCCCGTGCTACTTCTGCATTCTTCTCCAACCGCATGCTCCTTACCTGCCGTTGCACCACCCGGCGCCACAAGCTCCGTCTCTTTCAATCTCTTGTGACTGCGTCCTTGAGGTGGTCCTTGTGCCTTCTGTCTGTCAAGCAAAGCGCTCTCCGTCGCCTTCGGGTGCATTGCGTTACCCTGTTGACTTGGTTGTTAGGTGGTCGTGCCCATCACTCTTGGTTCGCCGGTGTAAAGGCATGGTGTGAAACTTTGGGGGCGCTCCTACACTGAGCTTTGGGATTCCTTGCTTGTCCGGATGGTTTGGCAGCGGGTCGGTCATGTCCTTCGTCAGCCTGAGTCTTCCTTAACGTGATCTGTCCTTCTTGGTTTGCAGCCAGCTCTGCCCCAGCGGCGGCTCCGTACTGGACCCAACAATAGCGGACATCGGCCGGTCATCAGATACCTACAGCCTGAGCATAGAAACATTCCATTGGAGACAGCCACAGACAGGCAACACTGAAGGAACCTTGAAGAACCCTGGCTCCGCCACAATGGGGTTTGCGGGCCAGTCGCTCGAGCGAATGTCTTCGCCATTGCTTGTGATAAACACATGTGGACCAGACGCTGTCTTCAGGAAGCTTATCATGGGCAACACGTGTTTATTTGCCATGTGACCGTAGCTGGGGTACAATGTTGCTTGGAACTTGATCGTGTGCTCAGCTGGAGAAAACATTCATTTACCGGGGGCTGTTTGCGCAGCGTCCTCGAGGGCATTTTGGCCACTGCGTGGATACATCACGGCACCTTTCATCTTCGAATCTTGCTTTTCCAAACGCCCAGTGAAGAACACAGTGACACCGCCCACCATCTAGTGAACGCCACGCCTTTGAATTTTGAACCTTTTAATCAACACTGTATTGTTGCTGAAATTTCAAATTTGCCCGCTGCCTGGTGCAGTGATATGACGCGGCTTGCCAGAGCTTGCTGGCTGACACACTGTTTTCTGGGGGGCTGGGCCGTTGGCTCGCCTTCAGTCTGTGACTGAACTCTTGGAGAGGGCGATGGAGAGAGAGAAACCAAGGCATTCTTAGGATTGGATGAAGCGGGGAAAGTTTTCGAGGCGAACATGTTACTTTTGGAACCGGCGGATGTTTTTTCTCGTTTTTTTTCCGGTTGAACGAATTCTTGTCAAACTCATTTTTTTGTCTGGTTTCGGTTTGAACAAATGTATTTCCACATTGCCCGAACAGCATGGTCATTAGGACATGGATTTGTTATTCACGGGAGCGTGGTTTGATTTGGTGTTTGTCAAGGCACATTCTAATCACAGTTGTCTGCGGGACATGTCATACAAATGAAATTGTGTTTCAATGTATTGAAAGGTTGATGGTGTTATGAGACTGCGTACATTTGTGAAATTCGAAAACTGCGGCCAATACAGGTGGACAACTGGATTTGGTTGGTTTGTGTGCATGTCCGACAGCAAAAGGTTCAAACGTGTGATGTTGGGAACATGTTGCGGAGACATGGCGATCCTTCCCGGATCAAAGACACGTTCTGGCTATATGTTGAGCCTCGTCAAGAGACGGTTTTCTTCACGATGGATTTGTCATGCGTCAAACCTAAGGATGGAAACATCAATGGCAGTGGAACGCGTTGAGCGCATTGAGCGTCAGGCCAGGAAGAAAACACATGTGGCATGCCATGGCATGGTGCAAACTTCAGAACCATCTCGAGGCAGAGGACCAATCGACTCGGAGTTTTCATTGGCTTGGACGGGAGCTTTATCTGCAACCGTTGAAAGACAAACGTGGAGTCCGTGTGTTTAGATTGCATGTTGTCATCGGTGTGGCAAGACCATTCCATCTGATTCATTTTCGGTACTTGAGTAAGTAGCGATCGAACATGAGGTTTGCATTGTTGGTTTGAACCTGGGCACATCGTAGGGCATTTTCGCAGTTTCAATAAGGAATGCTATGGGTCGCCCTTACATGTTGCAGCTCTGAACGGAGACTTCGATGAGGTTCAGAAAATCTTGCAGGTCCAGCGTTTTTTCCGCAGCAGTGTGTAATAGTTAGCAATGATGACTTACATTCTGCAGACATGGCAGTGATGAAAGTGATGAAAGTGATGAAAGTGATGAAAGTGATGAAAGTGTGATGGGAGGAGACGCCGCATCAGATTAATAGTCGGTTCACGTACTTTTCAAGCCCTGCTCTCAGTTGAACTAGCTGACCATTTTGTCCCCACTTCCTGAAAACACTCAGGTTGGGGCGAAAAAAAACAAGAAGGAAGCGGTGAAGCAATTCACTTGGCGGCATCACGACGAGAGGAAAAGGCAAGCTGTATGACTGACTGGAATGTGTATGTTTTTTCGGGGTATTAGTTAAGTATACCCCATACTCCCCTGTAAAGGTGTGCCTAATGTCCAGTGTATAATACTTGTGACTTACGGCCCAAGAGCAAAACAGCGTGCATATTTGCGGCTGTTGCTGGCTGCTCTAACCTGTGAAATAGGTTATCAGCCGTATTGCCACGGTACCTTCCTTTGTCACTATAATGTCTGCCCCCTCAGGGAAACCATCACCTGAGGGCAACCGCGCGTCCGGACCGTCCGTTGCCATGGCGATTGAAGATGCAGACACCGACAAAGCTTCAAGTGACATCCCAATTGATACTGACCTTCAGTCTCCCTCTGAACGCTCCCGAAGTGACAAGCGTGAAGTCAACGCCCTGATGCCACGTGGCGCTACTCAGCCCCATGAATGATACAACACGGTTCTCTCACCGTGGGCACGCCTTTCGCACATCCCGAGAGGGCATGCCAGCGAGCTCAAATCATATGCACATGAACCAAACTAAGGTCCATCACCGCGAATCGACTGAAGTCCACAACACATTGAACCTCAACCAGGTACAGAACAATCAGATGCATGTGAATACTCGCGATCCTGCTATCACATTGTTGGTAGAGCAGGTTGCTGAAGCACGTCACTGTGAAGCACTTGCAAACACGGAACAAGTGGTTCAGACGATGGTATCTGAGATGAGCCGCTGGTTCAATGCCGAGGAAGAAGCTGCCAGCGCCCGGATGCAGCAAATGACGAAGCTGGCAGAGAGTCGTGAAGGCCAATACAGAGAAGAACTTGTACAGCAAGGGGAGGTGTACAAAAGGGTTTTAGACGGTAATGCCAGACAATCCAATGCCACCAAGGACCAGCAAATCCAAGCACTGAAGGACCATTACAAGAGACAGGATGAAAGCCGTAGGATGCAACTGTCGCAATTGGATTCCATCATCCAACAGCAGAGTGAGCAGATAAAGGCTCAGCAACTGCAAACTGAATCCATGAACATGCGCATGGGAAAGCTCCTGAACACCTTAGGTCCATTGCCTATCCCAGTAGTCCATACTGCCACTGCCACGTTGCCGCCTGATACTGCGGTGAAGTTGTCCGCGCCGTTGAGTTCCTTTGCATCAGCCAGTGCATTCGGGGGGTTATGGGAGCAACATTGTGAGGCAAAACTGCTGCTGGTTGGCTTCGTTATGCCAGACCCGGAAGGGTGGCCATCTGTCTTTTTCCATCCGGAGTTAAAGCTGCTGTTGGTGGTTTATGTTGATGACTTCAAAATGTCCGGACCAAAAGAAAACATGTCGAAGGGATGGAATTTGATTGCAGATATGGACACCCGGGCAAGTCAATAGATATCTTGGTTGCGACCATCGGGTCATGCAGAATGTCAGACTCACGGTCAAGGATCATCCTTGTGCCCATGTCTTCGACAAGTCTTTGGTAGACCTGGCCGCGCCTGCCGCTACCGCATGCCACAGAACTCAAAGAACTTCTGGGAGCTCGACAACGTCAACAACGTCTACATGAGACACCATGGTCAGCCTAGGAAGAAGATGTCTGTGCCCGACGAAGATATGGTGAGATCACGTCAGTTGTCTCCATTCAGGTTCACGAATGCAATCCCATGTAAGGATGAATCAAGCTAGATTGAACACTGGGATACCATTGGAATTGGATCCATGGTAAGGAATGGGCTTAGCATGAAAGAACCGTGGGTAGGCACTACTACATATCTTTTCCCAACATCGTGCAAAGACCCAAAGGCTGCCATGGCCACTATCAAGAGGGACAAGTCTGGAGCCAAAAAGAAGGCTAGAGCAGAAGGGTTTTCATACATGGACCAACTATTTGAGAACCAACCCTGCATGCAAAAGCCAGTCACGACGTTCACCTACGACATGGAGCCTTTTCTCAAGTCATGTGTGGATAGGTACGTCAACTTAGCTGGCAGGGATGCCAAGCCCCTCAAACATGTTTCCACTCCGTTTCATGAGGAGAGAGTTGCCCGGCCTGTGGCCCATGAAAAGGAAACTAAGGGGGACTGGCTCCAATTGCCACAAGAGAGTTGACGAAAGTGTTGTTCGCAGCCAGGATGGCCAGATTTGATTTGCTGCGAGCCGTGCATGGCCTAGCCGCTAGAGTATATAACGAAATGGAGCTCAGACTGCGACAAAGCATTGCATAGGCTCATATGCTACATCAATTCCACCGGGGATAAAGTCAGTGACTGCAAGCTATGGCTATTCGCTGATGCTGACCATGCAGGGGAATATGACAATCGATCCACCAGTGGTTGCTTGTTAAACGTTAGTATTATAGTTGGACCAAGCACCTATTTCCCGCTCACAGCCTTCAGTAAGAAACAAACAGCCGTTGCAATGTCAAGTACTGAAAGTGAAGTCGTTAGTGCAAATGTCTCCCTACGAGCTGTCGGTCTTCCTTCCTCCGGTCTTTGGGCATACCTCCAAAACGAAGGGGGAGGGAGAGAAAGGACAGCATTCCAGGAGGATTGCCAAGACATGACATTGAGACACCCAAAGAACAAAATGGTGAATGCTGGCAGTTTTTGAGAAGTAGTAGATTGTTGGTAAGAGTCCACACCAAACCGAGGAATCATTTGTTCACCCCCATTGATATGTCCAAGTCACCCGTCAACATCAAACGCATCGGGTATTCCAGAACATCCGTAATGCTGAAGGACGGGATTGTCCACTTCAAACAGGACAACTGGAAGGTCAAGAACGACTACTACCCGATCAATGGGGAGTGGACGGGCAAAACCTTCTTGAGAGTCTATGGCCCGTACGAGTCCGACTACAACATCGAAGCCGTTGAAATCCGTGAAGCCATGACGGACTACGAGTTCGTCAGACGGGAGAAGGAAGGAGAGTGCATAATCTCTATGTTCTCCCCACGGTCAATCAAGGGTGTGTTTGTCGAGGACAATCAGGCTACCATAAGAATTCTGGAGAATGGGAAATCCCCTACATTCACACAGACAAGACACAACGGGTAAACTTGTCATGGTTGGAGGAACAATTAGAAAGAAGATGGTATAAGCTGGTGCATGGACCCAGCATGTTACAGGCAGCCGACATCCTACTAAGCCATTTGTTAGTGCTGAGAAGTGGAAACTAGCCGTCCATCTAGTTGCAATCACTCCGACCAAGACCAAAACGCCCCAGAAAGCTTTGGCAAACGCGACGGAGGTACCAATGCCTCCAGGCTCGGCGCTGCCGAGCACGGGGGGACCCGCTGCCAAGTCCGATGGCAAGAGATTGATCGTTGAAGTTTGTTACCATCCCGAATCCAAACCGAGTCAGACAAACCGCAAATGGTCAGAAGGGTGTGAGGTATTGCAGTTCACAAAAGAATTTGATCTGAATGAGATCGAAAACCAAATCGAAATTGCAGAGTATGTGAACTCATTTGAAGGTGATGTCAAACCTTTGATTTGGATCAGTCTTCCTTGCACGGGGGGAACTCCATGGACATATATCAACATGAAAATCCCCAGTGCTCGGGAGAAGATTTTAAAACATGTCAGAGAGTTTGACCGACCTTGGATTTCGTTGAAGTCATTTCTCAGAATGTTGAACTGTGATGTCCACATCGCACTGGAATGGCCAAGAAAATGTCGGTATTGGAAATCAACAAAGGCCTCCAAACTTTTGATTCAGTATGAGATGGTTACATACAACTTCGATGGTTGTGCACTTTGAATGAAGGATCAAAAGGGAATCCCACTCAAGAAACCTTGGACTGTGGCTACCAATCATTCTGGAATCGGTAAGCATTATCCAAATTTCAGTGCGAATGTGATCAGCAGCATGCACAGGGCAGAGGTTTGGCATTGAAGAAGACTGAAGAATAGACTTTCCGAATGGCAGATGCCATCCACAAAGCCCTTACCCAACAGCAACCTTCGCTCAAGCTCGCGTGCTGTGCTATCGCCCCGACTTTCCGCTGCGTCTTCGCCGTCATGTTGGCTCGTGCTGTTCGTATGGCCAAGGATTGCGCGGTTGCCGGGAAGCCTGCCATCTACGAGAGGGTATGCCAGTGGGAGAACGTCATTTCTACGCTGCGGGGAGCCATCGCCGTGGCCACGTGGGATGACCCTCAAGTGCTCCTCCGTGAGATGGAAGGTTGTCGTTTGCCGCTTGCCAACATCGTTGAACCAACTTTGGGCGGCGGCAACTCTGAAGGATCGTATGACACCCTTGCCGAAGTCTTCCAAAATACCCTTGACGGTTGATCAATTTCTAAGTAGTTAGACATCTCTTTATTTTTAATTTGCGAGTTCTGAAATTCAACCTTTTATTTACGTCGCCTTGGCTCAAGAAATTTCAAACCAAACTTCTGTTCCATTCATTATCCCGTCAAAATTCTCTTTTTGTGCCATGCGAGACAATGGTGATGATGCATTTGGCGAGCCTCTTTCTCGACTTGATCGACCTGTACATGTGTCGACCTCTATGTCTCCCTTTCCATCCTCAACTACAACATCAATGTCTCCTTCGACTGTTACTCCTTCGTCTATTGTTGGCTCTTCCTCGTCTTCTACGACTCCATTGGATCTCTTTATTCAATCAGTCCAACGTGCTCTTGATTCTGGACTTTCAAAAGAGACCCTGATTGCCAATATTCATTTGATCTCAGATGGAACGTTCAACTTCCATTCGACCTGCCAGTAGTGATGATCTTTTCTCACAATAAATCGCTGTATGATCAATTGATCCGTCGATTGACCCAAGATTTATCAGAGATATTCTGACTGAGATCTGAGACCTCCTCTTTCCCTTGATCGATTGATCTTGTCAATTGACTCTCTTTTGGGAAATTGAGGAATATTGCTTTCATGAAAAAGAATTCTTTTCTTCGACTTTCTCTCAAATTTTCCGTTGGCACAAAACCTTCAACTCTGTACATTATGTACATGCATTTCAATCATTACTGACATTCGTGATCTGCTGCCATTTCTATCCGTTTCGTTCGTTTCAACCGCAGCCATTTTCTGTCTCCATCACCCGTTGGCTCCCATCTCAATTTATTATTCCAGTACCTGTATTCCAGTTTCAAGTTCTTTTGCATCAAATCAATTGAGCAATTCCATTTCCCCCCCTCTTTTCAACTTGCCGATTGGCTTCCTGTTCAGGTGCATGATTGCTCTTATTGGTTTCCATCAGGATTGCAATGTTGACAGCATTCATTACGTCAGTCGTTTGATCAATTGATCAGTTATTTTGCTGTCCTCTTGTCAGTGATTCACTTTTCAAGAGTTCCACTTGCAATTGCAATTTGTCGATTGAGTTGCACTTCCTTGGATCGAGTGATCCTGTTGTACATTTGATCACTTGATCAAATCAATTTTAACATTTCAGCCTTTGCGGCTCAATTCCCCCCTCCATCACTTCGCGTTTCCATATCTATTTTGGCCATTTAGTGCCCCTTTGCATTTCCGATTGGACTTCAATTTCTCCGTCTCATTCAAATTTTCATTTTGCTTTGGTTGCAATTCACTGTCAATTCTTTTGGACGACGTTCAATTCAACATTTTTGCGCTGCAATTCTTTGATCCAATTGGACCTCATTGCATTTCTTCTGAGTGGGCTACCGTCAGATTCGGGTGGCTACGATGAGTGGGTCCGTCGTGGAAGCCCCCTCACCGAAAACCCCAGAACACCCTCCTGGACTGGGACGCCTTGGGAAGACATCTTTCAGTCATGCAAAAGCCGCTGCTTGGACTTGGTTCAATACAATTGTCACTGCAGTACAGGTGACAGTGCTACCCAGCCACTTGCAAGATTTGTGGTCGAACATCTCTCCAAACATTCAACTCCCATCATGATTGGAGCTCTGGATCTGCAAGGCAAAGCTGCCAACGTATATATCGACTTTTACAGACATTGGACTTCCAAGTTCGCTACTTTGTCACGCAAACAACTGATGTAATCTCCTGGGTTCGACAACGACTGGTGGACATCTCCGAGGCTCTGACAACTATAGCATCACGATTGACCAAACTGGAGCTGCTGGTGTACAACATCGGCACTGACCTAGCCTCAGCAGAGGAGAAACTTCTACGGGTTCCACAACGGAATGTTCAGCCAAAGCGACAACCAGGCAGGAAGCAACCACGCCCATCTTCAGCTGTCACACCCAAGAAAAAGGCCAAGAAGAGTGACTATCTTCCGACAACGACTTCATAAATCGTTCGTCATCAGGCAGGTCACTGACCATGAACAAAGACTCCTGGCCATCGGAAAAGGGCTCCTCAAGGAGCTGAAGAACCTTCAGAAAAAGGTGACTGGGCTTGAAGATGAGATCGACAAGCTTGGCTTTCGCACGAGTCGCCTCATGAGGGTGGGACGTCGTACGGAGAAGTCCCTTCGGAGCAACGGCCTCCTACGTGACGGAGAGTTCCTCAGCCGATCCAGCAGCTCTGAACTGGAATAGATGAAAAAGAACACCGCGCCGCCTGCATTTCCATTTTTGTTTTCTGCATCATTTGATTTGTGTTTCGTTTCCTTTCATTGATTGTCAAGTGCTCTGCATGTTTATTGTTATTTCGTTTTGAATTCCTTGCCCTGACAGGACTTTTCATCGACGTCTTTGTCTTCAATTTCGAGGTTCATCCAACTTGCAATTTGCTGCTGTGCAAGTTGTTTTGCATGCACTTTTCCTGGTGATCATCGGGTGGGCAGGCAACGACGTCTATGGAGAGGGGGGGGTACCGGGGAGTCAGGTGGATTCACCGCTCGGAGTATAATTGCTCCGCTGCCGACCGGGAGGTCACGGCCAACTGGTGCGATCGGCAGAAGGCCAGGGTTGAGCAGTCTTGCAACGACCTTGGCAACTTCAAACGAGCGAGAGCCGGGTGTTGGACGTGGTGATCGTGGGAAATGCCGACGGCGACATCTTTGCGTCGCCCAAAGCTTACAATGACACTATGAAGTTCCACATCCGTGCGCTCCGGGAGAACCACTCGATTCAAACGCTGGACACAACCGTGATGTTGAGTCGCACCTTCCGCTACGACAAGCTCCACATGGAAGATGACACGATCAATTCCTCACAGCTGTGGTGGACTGCCATTTTGCATACCTCAAACTGGTAGGTGCCGACGACCATCTCAGAAGGTATCCAAGAATCGAAGACCTTGAGGAGCTCAAGGGCTACCCAAACCTTCAGGCTCTGAAGATCGCCTTCAGACAAGAGATTGGGGCCAATGTTTCCTCGCCGAAGGACATAGGCCGAAGAAGCTGCAACTGCTACCGCCAACCGGGAGGTTGAGCCTTTGACCAAAGAGATCGCCGAAGAGGACCAGGCGTTGGAACCCATCAATCAGGACAACGCCGACTCTGATGACGAGCTCGTCAAAATCAAAGCCATCACTCTCGATGACAGAATTGAAGCGCGCAACAGCAGCAACTCCGAAGATCCTGACCAAGAATGGCAAAACCCCAATTACCCCTCAGCAGCAGAAGAAGAAGGGGCCGACTTCGAGGGTTGGGACCTTGTGCCTGAGGATGGGAGTCGTGGCCAGTGATCGTGTTGTGGAGGAGGAGAAGGAGCTCGACATCGACGAACTTGAGACCGTGGCATCTGAAGAGATCATTGAAGAGGAAGAGTTCCATGATGTCGAGGAGGGTGCATGAGGTGGAAGCCATTGAGGAGGACGGCGATGATATTGCCGTTGTCAGTGGAATCTCCTTCGAAGTTGTCGGAGGCTGCACAGGGGGACCCGGAGCCCATGGATGTCTATGAAGAGGACCTCAACAAGGCCAAGAGCTCTGGCATATTTTCCGGCAAGGCTGGCAAGTCAAGTTCTGCGTCTGCGTCGGCGGGGGCCACGCCTCCTATGCTGAAGTCCAAGTCCAAGGCCAAGCCCGAGAAGAAGGCGATGCCCAAATTGAAAGTTGTGGACGAGGGCCATGGACCGAGCAGACAGGAATTTGACACGTCCATCCTCAGCCCAGGATCTCGTGTGGATCGAGCCGGACAACATGGTCGGGGTGCCCATCAGGAAGGTCGACTACGGCAGATTGAGTGCCATCTCTCACTCCATGTCGGAGTACCTCCGTGGGCATCGACTTTTCCATCGTCGACCGTCGCCAGAGATTCGCAGGTCGGACCTCTCGATGGACCTTGTCCGGCACCTGCAGGGACTTCCCACACCGAGGTCTTCATGGTTGTCAGAAAATCCCCCATGAGGAGGTTCAATCCAGGTCAGTGGAATGTCATACGGCACACTTCGCTGGACTCCGGTGCGCATCAGAGCCATCCAGGGGCACAGAAACTTTCTCGTGCAGCAGGGGTGGAATGGCCTCGATGATCCGCAAGATGTACACATGACCTTCGACGCGGACTTCGACGTCAACAAGGTTTTGACGACCCAACTGTGCACCCAAATGCTGGAAGGCTCGCCCGTGTGGAATGACTTTCCCGGGGAGTCATTTACCATACGTGCGATCAAGCAGCATTCCTGCCGATCATCAGCAATGGATTGATCCCCGGCGGGTTCCCTCACAAGACGGGGCGGGCGCACAACTTCTTCAACAGTACGCCGCCCTGGAAAGCAGAGATGAAGAAGCTGCAGGGAACGCGAGCTGGGAGGCCTATCGCCTTGGCTTTTGACACAGAGCTGCTTATGCAATTCGGCACCAAGCTCTTTGCCACCGATGAAGCAATTTTGTCCCCGGACTGGGTGACAAATGTTGCCCTGATCAAGGCCTACGATATGCGGACTGGGGAGTTCTTCTTTATCAACATGCCGCCCACCGCAAGGCGTATCAGGAAGTAAGTCCTCAAGGAGGCAAAGGAGAACTATGACCCCACCTATGACCTCCTCAGGAAGATGACCATGTACCTCCAAGACGCGGAGCTCAACTTCCGAGGGCGTCAAGCTGCGAATCGAAAGCTGCTTGGCTTCTCCAGGAAGGAGGAACTCGAAGTTGAAAAGGGAACAGCCACCCGGGAGGGTGAGCCTGCGACTGGTGATCAAGTGGTCTCCGGCCACTCCGTCCAGAAGGTGACTGCCATGACGAGCACCGATGCTTGTGGCTTTCAGCGTCGAGGTCGACATGGAAAAGGAGGAAACTGTGGAAAGGGGTACGGGCGCTATGGATTCCAGCTCCAAATGAAGGACATCTCGGTGAGCCAAATCCAGGAGTTCCCCAAGACGCGGTGTCTTCATGCCCCCAGTGCTTTAGGCAGATCGAGCCGGTGACCGATGCCAACATCGCCACTCAGGTAGCCCGCCGGGAGGCGACGGCCCGAACGAAAGGTGTGCCCTTCTCGATGGACAAGGTGATCTTCAACCACCCAGGCGACACAAGTTGAGCCGACCATCGCAGAAGGCAACATCGTCAAGTTCGGGGCCTGTCCGCACAAGGAGCACCTACGGGAATTTGCGAGACATGGCGAAAAACGATGTCCGGTCCTTCAGAAAGAGAGGCTTCGGGGACCTCGTGGACCGATTGCAGCGCGATCCCTTTGGTTGGCCGGCTGCATCAGCCCCACCATCGAGAGGACCAAAGCCCAAGTCTTGGGGGAAAAGTTCGAAATGGCCACCAAATTGGTCTATTGTTCCCTCCGCTATACGCGAGAAAAAGACGAGCTTCTTGACCTCCATCAAGAAGTCTTTGTCAGCCATCGCGGAGTGTTCCTTGACATCGGTCAGTTTGCAGTCTATGTTGCCAAGTTTATCAAACCGAAGCAACGACCACTGCCGATTGTCTATGGATGGGGCAACAATGACTTCCTGCCTGATGCCGACACCTCCAAGGACACTGCAAAAGATCTCATCGAATTCAGCAAATTGCAATGAGTGAAACCATTGGCGATGACCGGGAGGTTCGCCTACCGCACGCCAGGTCGTCGGTGACTCTTCCCGAACATCAACGCCCACACCATGAGCAATTTGAGCCGAATCTTGGCAAACCCGCTCGGAGTGGACCATATGGCAAAGATCAGGGAGGAAAAGGGCAGTACAAGGGCAAGGGCAAAGGCCAGAGCAAAGGGAAGGGCAAGCAAGGCAAAAGTCCACCGGGAGGTGTGACCTATGGCGACTATGTGGGGCAGACTGGATGGAGCTAGGGCTACCAGTTCACCTGGTATTGGAACCAGCAACGTGAATGGTTTTGGCGCTGGAACTGAGAGGCTAGTCTCTTCACTATGACGTTAAGGTCATATCTTTCACTTGCTTGCCGGGAGGCATGTCATATGGTCAGGCATTGCACCCAATTTGAACATTCCAAAGCTTTGCTGCGTTGCATCAACAAACATCTATTTAAAACACTTCGCATTGCATTGATTTCTGCACAGTTTGTGAATTAATTTTTACCTCATAACTCAAAAACTTCTCAAGCCATATCATTGGATGTTCAGAGCACAAGCTCAACTGGTTAGCACTCTTTCCATGGCTGTACAGCTTTTCCTGCCATGGCGTTTCTAGGAAGTGGATCAATGGAGTGGTAATGCTCTTTCGCTTCTACAGCAAAATGCCTGGCGGGGGCCATGGCCATGCTGTGTGCAACTTCGTCCGTGAACCGGCAAAAAGAGCATTCTAGTCTGTGCATTTTGCATTTGCCTAAATTGCCTTGACATCCGATATCCTCACCCAATGCACCCGTTGTAGTTGTTGCATTGTTTTGCACATCTTGCTTCGCTTAGGTCACATCGCAGCGGCGGACAGCAGGCACCGAATTTACCGAAGCTGCCAAGCAGCTGCGGTAAACGGGGGGGTGTTTTTACGGGGTATTAGTTAAGTATATCCCATACTCCCCTGTAAAGATGCGCCTAATGTCCAGTGGACAATACTTGTGACTTACGGCTCAAGAGCAAAACGGTGTGCGTATTTGTGGCTGTTGCTGGCTGCTCTAACCTGTGAAATAGTGTATATATGAGTCATATGCGCATCTTTGGGTTGTGCATGGCTCTCACACTCGCTAGACTCAAATGCAGGTCCTGCGCTTGCTTGTGTCTCTTGGTGCAAAAATCTCAAGCAAGGCCGGATGGTGCCGGATGTTCAAAACTTCCAAGATGAGTTCCATGGATCCTTTGCTGCAGGTGACGCGTGGCGGTGAAAACAACTACGACGTCTTGCATGCAGCAGTGTACGCAGAGGGCAAAGGTGGATCTAGCTCCATGGCAACATGGCCTGCACCCTGCATGCTCCTAAACAAAAAGGACGAACCTACAGCACACTCCTGTAAAATCTGAACAGTTCCAAACCAGAATGGAATGGGCATTCAAATTCAAAAAGACAATGGTAGGAATGGTAGCTGGTGATGTTCCGCTGACGCACCGGAGCGTGCAATAACATTAAAGAACAATATGAGCACGGAAAGATGAAGGCTGGATATAGATTAGTTTTACTGTTTTATAAGAGCTTGCCTCAAGTTTCTTAAACTTTGACCTGGTTCTGTTTGACACAGGGTTCTTTCTTGAGCTTTCTTGTGTTGGAAGATGATGTCCGCAAAGGTATCCTACTTGCTGGAAATGAAAGCGGACCCACGGGAACTCAACGCGCGCCTCGTCACAAATTGAAGGAATTCTATGCAGCAAAGAGCAGCCAAGAGCGGCTAAGAGTGGCTAGATCACTGACAATATATCAAAGGAAGTTAGTTAGAACACTTCCGAGTTACGGACCATGGTCGTGGTTAGCATTCACGCCATCATGTCAACGACATCATAGTTGGGAAGTGAGAGAGTCTGGGACCGTGTGAATTCACGGGTGAAAACACTCTCGGGCACGGAATCGTGTGTTTTTACGGGTATGGTGGCCCCTGGTGTTGCCGAAGTATAGAGTCTGTGTTCCACGGGTGCGGCGGTTCCGCGCTAGTCTCCTTCAGTTTTTTGCGTTTTGTTGTGAAACCGACCTCTCGCCACAGTCTCGTGTGCACTGTTCCGACCTCATCTTCCACAAGTGCTGCAGATGTGACAGTTAGAGCATTTTGAAGTTCAAACCGAGCTCTCGCTACAGTCTCGTGCGCATTTTTCCGACAACTTTCCCAGATCGAGGCCCGGACCCGTGGAAACAGAGACCCTAATTGGGCAATCCCAGGAGTCACCATGACTGTAAAAACAGGGTTCTGCGCCCGAGAGTGTTTTCACCCGTGAATTCACACCCTTCCGAACTGTTGCGCATGTTTCATATCTCAACTACTTGATGGGTGGTTGACATGATGATGTTTTTGACATGATGGCGTGAATGCTAGCCATGACCATCGTCCGTAACTCGGACGTTTTCTAACTAAATATCCTTTGATTATATATATATATTATTTAAATACAACTATGATTATATATATATATACATATATGTATGCATTAGATATGTATGTATGTATATATTTATGTATGTATATATATATATGTATATGTATCTATATATATGATATATATACATATATACGTATATCAGGATTGATTGTGTTCGATCAAAAACTTTATCCAAGCGCGATCAAACCATGTCAAGGCACGGTAATTGGAGACATTTGAAGATCTGAGGAATGGATTCAGCACTCTGCACCTGGCCCATCAGACGGGTAGTGTTGATCTCATCAAGCTTCTATACAAAGCAATTCCCAATTGGCCTGAATTTGAGGAGAAACCATGAGCAGCCTCACTAGTATGTTATTGAACTGCTATTGCTGGTGTTTTTGTTGATGTGAATTGCAGCGTCATGCCCTGGTCCAGGACTCTTGCGCCAATGATGATCGAGCAGGGCTACCACTTGAGCCTTGCTCCGCTAAAACATTGCTATACTCTGCAACAAGCAGTGGTTCAAAAACATGATCTATTGCTGTGTTTCAACCAATCCTCAACATATAGGCATTTTATGGCATTTTCATCGGGTTCCGAGTGACAGCATCAGGAAATCGGCATTCACTTTGACAAGCTGCTTGATTGCATTGATTGTCAGCCTTTCTGATCCGCGTGGACTGGGAGGGCTGGTGATACAAGGTTGCTAATCAAGCCGTAAAAACTTCTTCAAAAACATTGCTTAGGCCCTGCTAGATCTCGTTGTTTCGGAGCCCAACGCAATTCAATATGGGGGATTACTCATCAAAAGGCCAAATGTGACGCCGGTTTTCAGTTTTCAAGCTCCTGTCCCCGCCAGGATGTCGGAGATTGAACTTGCCGAAACTGCACCATTGACTCGCCGCTCTCTGAAACTTCTTATTTATCAGCTGCCGCAACTTAGCACAACTTAGCAAGTCGAACGTTCCTCCGCAACGTGCAGCGATGCTATCCAGGAATCTGGAGTGTCTCAGAATGTCCTGGACAGTGGCTTCAGCGCAGCTGCGAAATCCATAGAAATCCTCCACGCTGAGGCGTTGCATTCCCAAGTTCCTACAAAGGATGGGCGCTGACGCATTGAACGACATCGACCTATCTGAGGATGGAGGCGATGGCGAGGATGGAAGAGAGGATGGAAGAATGGATGGAAAGTCAATTGCCCGATTCATCGAACCGGAGGTGACTCGGTTTTTCCCCAATGCGTAGGGAGGGTTTCCGTTTCACTCTGGTGGTTTCGGGGTTGAGGATGTGTTCGCTCGACGTTGCGTTTGCGCCTGCAACCTGCGTGTTCGCAAGTGTCCGCGTGAGGTCGCTATCGCCGTGCCTATAGGGAGTCCTGCAAAAGTTGTCACTTTTGGAGGTTTCAAAGGTTGCGCAACGTCGTTTTGTGCGGCAGGCGTGGCAATTCGTGACATTCCAACATGTTTCATAACGTGTCAAAAATCGTTCTGTGTGACAGGCGCAATACTCTTGTGTCGTTTTCAGAAGATGAGCGGACGTGTCCATCTTCATTTTTCGTGGCAGGAGCAGCACTTTAGGCGTGTGGTGTTGTGTGTTTTTGCGAATCGCAATGCCAGGGCTGCGTCAAGTGGTGACAACGTGCAAATTTAGTGGCAGGCACGGGATATCGTGACAGTGTCCTTTGGCGTGGCCGTCGTGTGTGGAATGTCATTTTGCTTGGCAGGCGCAGTATTTGGGATACTCTACACTCTACACTCTACACTTCACACTTTGCACTCCACACTTTACACTCCAAACTCAAAACTCCTCACTTTACACTTTACACATTACACTCCGCACTCCACACAGTACACTTTACACACTCCAAACTTTACACTTTACACGTCACACTTCACACTCTACACTACACACTACACTTTACGCTTTACACTTTGCACTGCGCACTTGACACTTGACTCTTGACACTCCACTCTACACGCTTCACTTTACACTCCACACTCCACACTCCACACTCTACACTTTACACTCCACACTCTGCATTTTGCACTTCACACTCCGCACTCTACAAAAATCACGGAAGTCTCGCACGCAACATCGATTTTGAGGTCGCAAGTTGTGAGGTTCATGTGAGGTTTATCAGGCAATTCTTTGAGATTTTGAGGTTTTGCTCTCAATGTGGTTCGACATTTGTACCATCAACATACGTGTGAGCATTCGGGTTCGTGGGCTGCATCTTGTTTCAGTCGCATCAACTTTCAGACCAGGTCAGAACTCGTGTGGCACCCATGGAGTTTAAACTTGGTGCTAAGGATATTGCACGCCTGATGCGGGAATGTCCGGAGGCAGCTTGTGCGCTACTAGACTATTGTTCCTTGAAACCAAAAGTGATGCTACCTGGCTGCAGCTGGAACAAAGCTGAACCAAATCTCATCGGTTTCTTAATGTTTCTTACCATGGTATCCTCGGCTGAAACCCAGGAGTGGTCACAATCCATTGCCCACTCGAGTGGCTTGGGAGCATTTTTTGTGCGGTGGAAACATACTCGTTGAGTTCACCTCCTCATTCTTGCCGCCCTAACAAAATGAGGTCAGCTTCGCCCCGAGAACATGGACGCAGGGTTTGCAAAAATCGCTCAATTTACAAAATGATTTGCTGGCCGCTTCGGCCCAATCAGTTCATGCTCAGACTTTGCCTTTGCATCAAAGTTTGTTTTCCGGCTGTCGTGTTTATCATTGGCGTCACCGCTCTTCGAAAGCGTTGGGCGGGATGGATTCAGAACCTTTGACCATTCAGGTCTTCCACAAGGAAGCTGAGGCCTGGATGGACTGTGAGGGTTTGCCAGCTGTTGCATCACATTGTGACTGTTCTGAGGTGTGGGAGTACGATACCTCAAACTTCACCATGCCCGAGTGGCACTCTGCCATCACAGAGAGGAAAACGCCTTACAATCGCAAGAGCCAAGGCAGCAAAAGGATGAACAATTTCCATTTCTCTTGGAGGGTTCCGCGTTCAAGGCGCCCCTTCCAGACAAGGAACCACAAAGAGATCGTGCGCGACGAAAGGAGACGGAGGAGGATGGCTAGACGAGATGCTGAAATCAAGGTTTGTCATGTCGCTCGGCAAAAGCTCTCTCTCAACAGCTCCCTTTGGCTGCTTGGCCCTGGTTCCCAACCTCAGCCAGGTCCCAAACCTTTTGACAGCTGAGTACTTCCAGGCAGGATGGCCATAGGTGGCCATGGCCGTTGAGTGTGTGATTTCAAGACCTGCAGTTCTCGCAAGGCGATAATCGATGCAAGCGAAGCCGACCCTGCATATGCAAGATTTGACAATGACGTGGTCCGTTCGTCTATTCACTATGCGTTTTGGCATGGTGCCTGCATGTATGATGTCTTCCAGGCCACGTTGATGACTGAAGTATTAAAATGCTCAGAAATACAGAGGGGCAACCAAAACGGCAAAGCCAGCTTTGCGGCTCAATTGGAAGCACAGGTGGCAATGAGCTTTTGGGCCGTCTTGATTCTGGTCTTTGAAACCTGTATGTCTCTTGATCGCAGAGCCGCCTCCGTCTGGAACCTGCATACATCATCATACATCGCAAAAAGTGCTTGGACTCTTCTTCGGGGCAAATGCAGTCAGAGTCACTAAGGCTAGTTTTCGAGGAGGATGTCCACGTTCGTGACTCAAGGACCAGCCACATTGAAAAGATATCAAGGTTGAGCTCTGCAATACAACAGTTATAAAAGGATATAAAAGGTTTCTAAGTGACCGTGCCTTCTGTATCTTTAGGGCAAGTCTTTGCTGCCAATCCCAGGAGGTTACATCCCGGGTCCACCTGGCAAGTGTCCCGACCGGAGGGCGTGGCTTGTGCACACGTGAAGCGCACACACAAACGGATGTTCAGATTGAAGGTGATTGACGACGGAAGAGGTAAAGGATGTAAAGGACAAACATGGAAAAGTCTGATGTTTGTCAAATGTTCCAAGTTCGAATCCCTAGGGGTCTTAGAGAGCCCTGTATAAACATAGGCTGATGGAATCACAGAATCTGCGACCGGGTGCCAATTCCGTGTCATTCGTTTCAACACACTGATCCCTGCCTCTCGATCTTTTACATCATCTTCAGCCTCCGCCGCCAAGGCCCCCAAGGGTGAAGATCTGACAGATGGTGGTGGATGCTTGCTGTGTGACCTGTGGCTCGACAACACCTAGCAGACCTAGCGATAGCCAGCGCCACCTGCGCCAATGATCGACATGATCGAAACCAAGGCATGTGGCTACCAGTTGGATTGCTGCAAAGGGCTTGGTCGATTTCCTCATGGAGGCCTCAGACAGTGGGACTCATTGTTTTTTTGCACAGTGCCCACGACAGTTTTTGCGTTGCTTCTTATCTTTTCGGACCTGTGTGCTGTCCAATATGTGTATACGGGATATATATATATATAAATATATATATATATATATTTACATACATACATACATAGTTATACAGATGGGAAGAATCAGAGACGAGAAGAGAAGAAGAAAGAAGATCAAAAAAGAGAAAGTCTAAGAAGAAAGAAGATGCAGGTGCGCGAAAAGATAGAAAAGTCACGATTCACTGTGTTTTTCCAATGATTTATGGTTCCGGAGGGTCGACAAGTAGGCTCGCTAAAGCGGCGGGTGCGGAGCCATGTGGTCAGATGACAGATGAAAAGTTGCACGCCGTTGTGGCGCGAAGCACATGTGGAAGTCAAAATGTACAATGCACACCAACGTCGGACCACTTTTGGAAGTTGAGATATCGAAAAAGTGCACGCCGTTGTGGCGCGAAGCACATTTCGAAGTGAAAATGTACATAGCACCTCATGTTCGGACGACTTTTGGAAGTTGAGATGTCGAAAGAGTGCACGCCGTTGTGGCGCGAAGCACCTTTGGAAGTCAAAATGTACAGAACACCTCAGTGTCGGAGCACGTGTGGAAGTTGAGGTGTCGAAAAAATGCACGCCGTCGTGGCGCGATGCACATTTCCAAGTCAAAATGTACAAAACACATCATGCTCCGACCACTCTTGGAAGTTGAGATGTCGAAAAAGTGCACGCCGTTGTGGCGCGAAGCACATTTCGAGGTCAAACTTTTAAAAACACTACACGCCCGGACCACTTTTGGACGTTCAGATGTCGTCTCGCGTGGCAGGCGCAGGGGATTGTGCACCTTGCCAAAAGTGAGAAAAACATGAAGGTTTTGTAGCATGTCCAAAAGCGATGGCAGGCGTGGGACATTTGAAGAGGATCTGCAAAGATGAATTTTCCGTGGCAGGCGCAATACAAGAGACATGTTCATCAGAGATGTTAGGAGGTCCGGGTGCTGATTTCCTGAGAGGGGTTGCATTTTGGAGCATCAGATCTTCAGTTTTGGGAAGGTGATTTTGTGTGACAGGTGCAGCACTTTGTATGACCTGGCATCACTTTTTCGTGGCGGCGCAGTACTTTGGACAGGTGGAGTGGAAAAATCGCAAAACGCATTGGTACGAGGCCGTCAGTTCTGCACTCAACTTTCCATTTTTGAACGAAGTCTCGCAGAATTGTTTCGTTTTTGTTTTTGACATTACCAGTTTCAAAAACTGAGGAAGTCTCGCAGAATTGTTTCGTTTTTGACGTTGTCAAGTTCAAAAATTGAGGAGGTCTCGCAGAGTAGCTTCGTTTTTAAGCTTGCAGATAGACAGATAGATTAGATGGATCAAAAACTAGAACTACCACTACGACTACACTACATCTAGGGAATCGCCTGGCTTGCCGCCCTGCAACTGTCGGCATCTTCTTTTCTTCGCTCTCAAGATGAAATGCTGAAAAACCAGTATTTTTTACATTTTTCACCTTTGGAAGGCATTTAGAGAATATCATTTTGTACTGCGTGGGCCAATTCAAAATGATAAAGCGGTATTTCGTGCAGGCGAAACGATCATTTTTTTTTCCACGCCGGGAAAAAAGTTGGAAATGCCTGTTGATCTAAGAAATCCCATGCCCAAACGGCTTAGAAGCATCTTTTCTCAACTCTGCCACAAGCATTTTGGGAAGTTCTTCCAAAATGGAACTTGTGATGGGAGCATTTTGCCTCCACTGGAAGCTTCGCGCCCACTTCCAACGGTTTCGTTGGTTCCTCCATGGGATTTGGCTTCCATTTTTTCATACTTTTTTTTTGGGGTATGTGCAAGCGTAACAACATATTCTATCAACGTAACATCAGGCTTATGTTCGGGCACGTTAACAACATGTGCAAGCGTAGCAACATATTCTATGAACGTAACATCAAACTTGCCTTCGCATACGTTAACAGCATGTGCAAGAGTAGCAACATATTCTATATGAACGAAACATCACATTTATGTTCGCGCACGGGAACAACATGTTCAAGCGTAGCAGCATATTCGGTAGCATGCCACCGGACTATATTATTCCGACCCCACCCCACCCCATCTCTAACGTTGCATTATGTAGGTGTGCAAGTGCCACGGAACGCTATTAGCCCCATCCCACCCCACCCCATGTTACTTATTTTGTTTTACGTGTCTACACAATGCTTCATGCATGTTGACATGTACACACAATTCATTCCTTCTCATGCGCACTCCGCATGGCTCAAGATTAGCAGCAAACCGCGTGTAAAAAGAAGTGCTGTCGCTCTCGCTGACTACAGGTGTTTAGATCAGTTTCCAGGGCTCCCTTAATACGGGGAAAGCTACCTCAAAGTGGTAGCGGAGCCTGTGCCTTCGCCAAGTCTAGATCCGTGTGCCGAACTGTTGTTCTCTGCATACGCTCCGTATATCGGACTTGCGGAGGCAACCTGTAGGTCAAGTTAGAGTAGCTGCCATGGTCTTAATCCACAACATGGATTCAGATGAAGAACAACTCCAAATTGTTTCTTATGAAGGGCCAGAAGCATATGCCGCCACCAGTCATTCCGAAAACCGGATGGGCATCAAAATGACACCGAAGGTTCCACCCCAATTTGATGGCCAATCTAGCTGGTTTGAATATGAAGATTTAATTGATGACTGGTTAGGGATCACAACATTGGATGCAGATAAGCACGGACCATCATTAAAGAATGCCCTCATTGGTTCCGCTTCTTTTTATAAGTCGATGCTCGATAATGCCCTACTCCGAGATCCGGATCGTGGCCTCGCTCATTTCAAGGACACATTGAGACCATACTTCGTGAAGGGAGTAAATCATGTGTTCCTTTGGCGATTCCTCCAGATGTTTCGCACATATCGAGGCCAGAGTGAATTCGTGCACTGGATAGGGCGATTTGAGATCGCGCAGAAGCGTTTGTTGGCTTCTTGGTCCGATCTGCTGGACATATCCGATCTTCCCGAAGCAGGCACTCCGGCATTTACGGCAGCACTCACTGATGAGCAAAGACTGCACTATAATGGAATAGTAGCAGATGAAGATAAGCTAGCTTACCAACAAGAGCTTAGAGAACAGACCATCACAAATAGAAGGACCAGACATGCACAGCAGTTTCCATTGTCAGACAATTTGATGTCACTGATTTTCCTAGTTCAAGCAGACCTCAACGAGCAACAACGTGAGCGTTTTGTCTCGTCCATGAACATCCGTCAGATTGCAATGCCTCAGTATACCTATCTCCAAGTGAAACAGCTGTTCTTAGAACTTTTTGCCGTTTCTCGCACAGGTGTTGCCGACCCAAACATCACACACCGCAAGCGGTCCAACTTCTACGTCATCGACGAGGGCGAGACCGAAGAAGGTGAGTACGGATTTTGGGTCTTTGATGAAGAGACGGGTGAAGAAGGTGTCACAGGTCTGTACACAGAGAACGAATTTTGGGTTCTCGGTGCAAAGGGTTCATACTCTAAGCGCCGCATCTATGGAAGGTCCTTCAAGAAAGGTCGACCAAAAGGTTATGGTAAGAAAGGAGGAAAAAGATCAAGACCCGGCTTCCGCCCGAGGTCAAAAGGCAAAGGTTTTGCAGCATGGGAAGATGACCAGCAAGACACAGCTTTCTGGGGAAAAGGAAAAAGCAAAGGAAAAGGCAAAAAGGGGAAGAAAGGAATGATAAAAGGAAAGGATTCTTTCAAAGGAATGCTTTCATGGAAAGGAAAGGGCAAAGGTGATGCCAAGAACAAAGGAGGAAACAATCCATTTTTGTCACAACCGCCACAAGCAAATGTAGCACAGCCTGCAACATCTAGTTCATCACAAGCCCCGAAAAAACGAGAGAATGCCCATGCCGAAGAAAGCTGGGGTTATGACTATGATACCTATTGGACAGATGACTGGTCAGGTTATGAATCCTACTATGGATATGATGGAGACTACTCCCAAGGTGATTGGTACAATTGGTCTTATTTTGCTTCCGCTGAGGAACTGACCAAATCCGAGGACAAGCAGTCAGAAAGTGTAGACGTCATTTCTGAGGACGGACAGACCGACAAGATCAACCGGTTCTGTTTTTCGGCCATTTGCTTGTTCCGATTTTTCGGACACGAACTTGTAGAAGCCTTCGCATTCATGCTTCTGTTCGTGTCTCTGATGTACCAGTGCTTTTCAGATTTGAACAGGTTCTTAGGTTCTTATTTAAGAGCATCCGCCAAGTTGAGAAGAGTGTTTCTACCGAAATCGGTGACCAGCATTCGTTTCAGCCGCACACATGCCCGCTCGATTCCGTATTTACGGAAGAGTGTGTACTTCTCAATTGTGATCATGGTGCCCAACAAGCATTACTTTGTGAATATGTAGATCTAGGTTCTCATCCGACTTATGTCATCCTTGATTCAGGTTGCACCCGAGCCATGGGATCCCGCTTTGCCATTGATCGCCTTGTACAGGCTTGCCAACAGCATCCGAAGCGTGACCACATATGGTTTTCCAAGCAGCCGTGTTCAAGTAAGTTTTCATTTGCCAATGGAGAACAATCTACTGTCAAAGAAAGATTAGTGATTCACTTTCGTAATGATCGTGCTCAAACTGGTTGGATTACAACATGCGTTGACATTCTGGACAAAGGCAAGGTTCCTATCCTCTTTTCAGTTGAGCAAATGCGGAACCTTCGCATGAATATCGAACACACTCCTGTAGGTGAGTTCATGACTTGTCCAGTGTTCGGAATGCAACGTACCGCATTGGCGGTCAGCACATCCCACCATCCAGTTCTTGACATTATGGCTCTTGCTACTTCCAGTTGGAAACCGATGTACAGCTTTCAGTCCGAAGACATCACATGCCCAGCATGCAATGGTAAACATCGTCCACACACCAATAAAGAAGGTTGCAAGAGATTCAAAGGATCAGAGCCAAAATCAGCACAAGTGCCGAA